ACCTCGGCTCACTGCAACCTCTGCCTCCCAAGTTCAAGGGATTCTCCTGCCTCAGCTTCCTGAGTAGCAGGGATTACAGGCACCCGCCACCATGCCTGGCTAAATTTTTGTATTTTTAGTAGAGATGGCGTTTCACCATGTTGGTCAAGCTGGTCTTGATCTCCTGACCTCAGATGATCCACCCGCCTTGGCCTCTCAAAGTTCTGAAATTACAGGCATAAGCCACTGTCCCCAGGCACTGAAACTATTCCTATACTTTTTTTTTTAATGGTGAAAGAAGCAAATTTTTCTAATACAGTTTCCTATGGAGTCTGCAGATTTGAAGCTAATTCTAGCTAAGTACAGGAGAACTGAATGGGAGTCTATCAGTACTCTACTATTGTTTCACTAGTCCTTCCAAATTAGTAAAACATTTTACCTGCTGCCAATAGTCTCCTTTGGCTAATGTTTTAAAAATGTCTCTTTGGTTATCTAGATTATTAATTAAAACAAGTTTGATATTTTAATAATCAATAATTCTGAAATGCTTCATACATTAGAAATTAATTGTGTTGAGGTGTCCCTATAGATCCAAGATTTTATTCCTGTGTTTACTGTCTTTACAGAGACAAAATAGAAAATAGTAAATTTCATAAATGTGTTAGCTCCCTTTCTGTAAGACCTATTAGAGAAAATAAAGAAAATCCAATATGCTTTTCTGTCTGTGAAGTACAATTTTAAATTATAGTAGTGGCTGTGTGCAGTGGCTCATGCCTGTAATCCCAGCACTTTGGGAGGCCAAGGCAGGCAGATGATGAGGTCAAGAGATCGAGACCATCCTGGCCAACATGGTGAAACCCTGTCACTACTAAAAATACAAAAATTAGCTGGGTGTGGTGGCACGCACCTGTAGTCCCATCTACTCAGGAGGCTGAGGCAGGAGAATCACTTGAACCCGAGAGGCAGAGGTTGTAGTGAGCTGAGATGGTGCCACTGCAATCCATCCTGCATGGCCAGACTCTTGCGACATAGCAAGACTCCATCTCAAAAAAAAAATTACAGTAGAAATAAAACAGACAAAGGATTCAGATGAATTTGAGTTTTATTGGCTAAACTGAAATATCACTCTTTGCATGTCTTGAGTTGTGCTGGTTAGGAAATCATAGTACAAAGGTTGTTTGTAGGCCAATGGTTTGACTATTAATTTTTGCATACTTTCCCCAAAGCTTTCTTAAAACAGCTATTTTTTTGGTTTTGAAGAATAATATATTCGTGCCTATTCTAACCTGATTTCTTCTACCTGAGACCTAAAAGGCATATTGCCCAATAGTCATGACTTTGACTTCATGCTCAAAGTACAATGATATTGTTACTATAATTCATAAATCGCTCAGAGAGTTCATAGTAATAAAAATAGGAAGAATTACATATCTAAATGATGGATTTTTAAACACTAGGGCCTGGGTGGCTACTCTTATCCACTACATGGCCACTCAAATCGTTTCATACCGACAGCCTTCTCTCAAATGAGGTATAAAGAAAGACTAGGAAACATATTTTTGTCACTATTGCTTGCTTTGAAAGAGGGCCAGGTGATAGAAGAGGCTGTATTACCTTCTTTCAAGTGTAAAAAATTTATTCTTGTTTGTCTTCTTAGATTTGAAGAAGAACTGACCAGCAAGTGGTTACATCTCTTTGAAGGCAGTGGAGTCCCATATGGCCCAATCAACAACATTAAGAATGTATTTGCAGAACCTCAGGTTTGTTTTTTGAAGTTTAACAACACGAGCATTTGCCTCTCTTTTCTGTCCAGATTGGTTTATATCAAGGTACCTTTGCCACTGATCTTAAGCTTAAGTCACATGATATGATTTTTCACTGTTATATTAAAATTGTTTGTGGGTTTGAGATAAAAAGAACCAGAACTTAGAAGTAAGTGGCTGTCCATGGCCGGGTGCGGTGGTTCACTCCTGTAATCCCAGCACTTTGGGAGGCCAAGGAGGGTGGATCACCTGAAGTCAGGAGTTTGAGACCAGCATGACCAACATGGAGAAACTCCGTCTCTGCTAAAAATACGAAATTAGCTGGGCATGGGTGGTGCATGCCTGTAATCCCAGCTACCCGGGGGGCTGAGGCAGGACAATTGCTTGAGCCCAGGAGGTGGAGGTTGTGGTGAGCCAAGATTGCGCCGTTGCACTCCAGCCTGGGCAACAAGAGCAAAACTCTGTCTAAAAAAAAAGAAGTGGGATGCATAAGCGTACTTATGTTACATTTAACATACTGTATTTCTTCATCAATCACTACATGAAGTTTCTGAGGCCAGGGTATTTAATTTTCCTGAAAAACAGAAATATACACAATTGAGATATTGGGGTTGGGTACTCAGAGACTGTTTTTTGTAAGAAGAAATATGAGAACTTTCATAGTTGCAGTCCACCTCTGATCATCTGATTATCCTAAAATGTACAGAGCAGGTCATATTTAATTCTGCAAATGAGAGAACTTCTTTTGGTTTGATTAATATATGTTATTTGTGAGACATAAATTTTACACTGATAGTGATTTGTGCTCTACATTACTTATCAGGCTCCTTTTTGGTGCCCAGGAACAGGGTCACCTGAAAATATATTTATTTTATAACATTGTTCAAGTGATTATTTTTAGATATCAAAATAATGTTTTGAATTTATTACTTCAATCAATATAACTAGAAGCAATTTTGCATTTCTCAAATTCATGGATTAATCCCCAAAGGTAGAGGGACTCCATTTTAAAGCTTTCACTATGATTATTCAATCATCTTGTCAGTTTCCAACATTCAAAACTATGGGGTATTTTTCTTTGGGTTCTTTATTTAGTGGCAGGTTTTTCTTAGAAATAAACTATTGAACATAGAATACACCTCCTGAGGGAGGAGATCTTTGTTGGAAAACCAATCTATCTCTTTAATTTTGGTACCTTTAATCTTACACGAATATCTGCTTAAAAGAAAATTGAAATATTTTGCATTTAACGGTTATGACATTTACTGGCAAAAATGTATGAAAAGTGAATGAATACAGGAATTTTGCATGTGCTATTTTTCTGCCAAGATTGTGAGTATGACAAAGCTTTGTTCGTATTAAAACACTGGTCAATAATGGTCAATAAGTGTTTGACATAGGGGGACCCATTTGTTGTGTACTATGTGAATTCATCTGAAAGGGACCCCACACCATCCATGGATTAATGTCTGGTGATTCCTTACAAGGAGGTAGCATTGTGCACACTCTGAATGTAGGAGAACAGGGGACCGTTGTTCTCACTTTATAACTTTGAGTGAGGCCAAGCCACCATTTGAAGCTGTTGTGTATTGAGATGTGTGTAGAACTTCATGTATATCTCAATTTGAGGGTACATTTTTCTGGAGATACTTCCTAAGAGTTTTCCATCAGCATTTCTATTGCTCTGTGTTTTATCAGAGATGAAGGCACCAAAGCAAAGAATTATTTTTAAATAATTATATTATTTATAATTTATATAATAATATATTAAATACATATAATTATTTAAAAATATATTAAGTATATTCAAACACTACCTAGTTTTTAGGCTTTGATAAAGATTTACAATTGCACCCACTGTCTTAAAATTATTCACTTTATTGGCTAGTTCAAAGTGAATATAGGATAATTAGGATTTTCATACCTAATTTTCTCTTGCGGTTTGGTGTAATTACTTTAATCTTTGCATCTCAATTCTTTTGGAACTACAAAAATTTCTGTTCTTACTCTATGGCATATTTTTAGTCATTAGCCTACCTTCCAAAATGGAGAACAATTTATGTTACCTAAGTCAGCATACCAGCTTTTGATACTGTTGCAAATGTCTCTACAAACTGCCCTTTGCGAAATTTGTGTAAAGCAGATTATTTTTAAAAAACTTGAAGATGACATCTAACTATGATGACTAAGTTCATTCATTTATTCAACAAACTTTTGATATATCCAGTGCTTGTGACTTAGCATAAATTCAGTACACAATGTGTACCTGTTATTAAGTCCATTTTGAATTTATTTATTAGAAAGGTAGGGATTAATGAGTTGGTTAGCTCTGGAATGTGCAAGTTTTCCAAATAATCAAGTGACTCCTGTGTAGTCCCCCCAACTTTTAAAATTCTCCCCACCATAGCTATCATCCTGTGTGCTTCTGAGAGAGGCTGAGAAGCTCTATCTTCAGGGCTGGTTGGAAAACCCTTGGTAATCTGAGGGAACTAAGTGTAACATAATGGTTAAGATCATGGAGTCAAAATTGGTGGGCAGTTTATTATGAACTTTCTAGACTTTGGTTTCCTTAAGTGTAAAATGGTGGACTAGCATCTGAGTTATTGTTTATAAAGAAACAGCACAGGGATTGTGAGATGGTAAACAGCCAATGCCTAGTAGTAGCTGTGGTTATGTTGGTGCCCTTATATTCCTGTTTAATTTCTTTTACTTATCTTTGTATAGTGGATAGAAGAAAATCTAGTGTAACTTTGGGGATGGGGATCATTAACTTAAACTTGTACTCTGCTATCCTTTTGTAAAAATATATCTGCAAACTCTATGCCAAGATAAGGATTTCCCTTCCTTATTTCTGATTATTGAAAACCCTTTTATTTTTCATTTTTTGTAAAAGTTTTTTCTAAGTATGATTTCCATTTAAGGTATCCTCCCTTGTTTTGCCTCTGGTGAGCTGTAGAGTTTCTTGGCCCTGGGTGCGTGGAAACGGCTACTTCTGTTCAGATGTGGGAACGCACCACTGGCGCGCGTGGCCCACTCTCCGTGTGCGCTGTGCCAGCACAGCTGCTCTGAAAATTGCTCTGGGTGAAGTACAAGGCCTGGAACATGGGGCAGGAATGGAGACTTCGATAAAATGAAAAGGGGTATGTGTAACAACAACAACAAAAGCCAGGATTGGGAGCTTCAAGTAACAGCAGAAAAATTTGAGTGCCTACTTCTCAAGTAGACCATTTACATTTCATCTGTGGTTTGAACTTGGAGACAACAAAAATTTACTTGATAGTAGAAACTATTTTTAGCCTAACAATTTCATCATAGTCTCATGGATTGAGGTAACTTGATTTTTTGGTTCAACCAAAACAACAGATGATATTATTTTTCATGGATAAATGAAAGATTGTCTACCTCTTATCCTCTAATTATATGTGACAGACCTTTGCACAGTTAAACTGATCCTACAGGCATCCACTGTTAAGTCAGTCAAGAATACTGCAGGCTGGGTGGAGGGGGATTGGTCTGCATTTACTGAAAGTTCTGAGGAGTTTTTATGCAAAACCTTTAGCGTGGGAGTTTTATTGTCTTTCTCTCTCAATGACAAATTATCTGTGGAAAGCTCTGTGCATTATAGATGTATAATATAGATTATCTGCATATAGATTTTAATAGCCAGTCATTTTTCCAAGTACTTTCTTAAAATATCTTTTTTTAATCAAGCCAAGATTGTGCAGTACATTAAAGGAATTCTTAAAAAGTTTTAAAAACTTACTAGATGACCTCAGTATGGTCCTATTTAACATACCCTTGGGAACATGTGCATGAAATACATTATGGTTTGAGGGTTTCCAACCCAAACAAACTTAAAAGAAAACGCAGCTTTTAATAGAAACTATTCAAATTCCTGCAAACATAGGTATATATCTTACCACTGAGAGGGATTAAAAACATCATTGTCTACCCTGAGAATTAAAAGGCAATGTGACATTCTGCTTTTAGACTTCACTTAAAACTGTATATTTGGTGATTCTAGCATATCACCACTTTGATTAAACTGCTTAATTAAAAACGATGAGTGATTGAACCTGAGGGTAGGGAAGAGAGGGCTAAGGGTGTCACAAAACTGGTGTTATTTAATAGAGTCTTCACATTTGTACCACACAAGTCGAATATATCAGGTGTAAGACATCACCCTGAAGCATCACTTCTTAGAACTATTGGGAGGAAAATATCAGAACTATTGAAATATCACAGCTGGCCCTGATTTTAACTAGTGCCAAACACCTGCAGGCTCTAAAAGGATACCAAAACAAAACTCCACCCCATGGCAGCAAGCCATCCCTTAAAAACTCTTTCTTAACTTTGCATCACCATCAAAATTAATTTAACATTTTCTCCAGAAACCTTATTCTTCCTGTCCCAGAAGGCCATTACAACCCCTATAGCAAATCTTTCATACGGGATGAATATGTCATAGAAACAGAGTGAAGTCTTGAAATATTTGAAGGCTGAAAATTATCTGTTTTCATCTCATTATTTGTGTAAGCTTTTGAAATTAGAGAGTTTAGTAATCTCTAGACTAGCTCGTATTCTCTGAGTGATTTTGTTTTAGCACATTTTGGCAAAATATCTGAGCATCTTATTTTTTTAGAAAGGCCAATATTCATATAATAAGCATCAGAAGCACCCCAAAATACAGAGTAGCTTTCAAGACCTTTCTACCACACTCTCTCTCCCTCTCTCTCTTTCTCTCTTCTGATGCATTTTAAAGATCACCTTTCAAATGACATTAGTTAATATTTCTTGAAATGCAGTTTCATAGCCCTCAGAGGGTTATACCCGTCAAGCAAAATTATATTCTTGTTTCTAATACTGTTGGGAAATACATACATACAATGGTCTCTGCAACTGGAAAACTGTTGATGAAGATCTGATGTAAAATAGTAGGTCTGGAAATAATTCCTAGCAGACAAGGAGATAAAAACATAAATTTTATGTGTGTCTCT